AAACCCTTACTCACCTCTCTCATTCCTCTCAACCCTTTCTCTTTCATCTTTCTTACTCCAATTCGTTAAACAATCTTACAAAAAAATGATTTTATAATGAGTTTTCATCTTATAATTTTTGTTTTATCTAATTTTATCCAATTTTTACAAGCATAAAGGAATTGGTAATTGACCTGGAAGAAATCAGAAACACTCGTTGTTAAACAATTTCTTAAAAAAAATGACTTTATAATGAGTTTTCATTTTATAATTGAAATTAGAGAGATTAGTGAAGATGGTGAAAATTGAAGAGATCTTGAATGAAAAGGTTGGAATGAGAGAGATTAAAGGAATGAGAGAGGTGAGTAAGGGTTTAGAGGATTTTTTTTTTTATGTTTTGAAAATTAAAATTATTAAAATAGTCGTAACGTTAAAACTTAGAATCCATGATATATAAGGGTATTTTTGTCTACTAAAATCCGATATACATTGCTAAAATGTACCAACTGAAAAACAGGCATACGCGTTAGCAAACCCATATATATATATATATATATATATATATATATGTGTGTTATAATTATATTCACGTAACTATAATAAAATTTTATATATTCTCTTATAAATTAATTATTTTCTTTCTTTTTCGTAATAATGTTAATAACATTGAAATTATTCTCGGCTCAAAATCAGGAGTTAAAAGTAAAGTAGAAGTTTGTTTATACTTTCAGAAACTACAATTGTTTCTATCGGTGGCACTGAACATGGGAAAGTCGCAGGCCTCGCACAAGGTGAAGGCTGCCAACACACTCCGTTGAGTCTTTTTAAAAATATGAAAATTACAATAAATTAAGAGAAAATATTATATAATCAGTATGAATATAAAAGTTAAAAGTCTTGTTAAGCTTTTTATTATTATTGAATTATTTTTTGTAACTAACTCTTTCGTATCTTTATCAACCATTATGTATTTTATTTTCTCAACTAAACCTTTATACTGTTTATATAGTTTTCTTATTTTTTATTTGAAAAATATATATTTTTATTTTAAAAATATAAAAATAAATATTTAAAACTATAGAAATGTAGAAATTTTATTAGAAAAAATTTTAATTAGAAAAAGTATGAAAATAGAAAATTAAAAATATAAAAAATATCAATTTTCTTAATTAAAAATTATAAAATAGAAAAAATATTAAAACTTATTAAAAAATATATTTAGAAAACAAATAAAATAGATTTGAAGCTTTTCTATGCAATTTTTTTATTTTTAATTTTAAAAATTTTGAGTATTATAAAATTTATTTCTTACTTTTTTAATAATTTGGATAAAAAAACATTTAAAAGTGTTCTTTGAAAATTAATTTCTGATTACTTTTTTTATGTAGAATGATCACATTGAAGGTAAAAATTCAGCACCAAGAAATTAAATCTAACGTAGAAACGAAATTATGTTATATATATAACGTATAATGTGTTGTATTAGAAAAAAAGATCTCCAACGGTTCTATATCAAAAAAGTATTTAAAATACTGTAAAAAAAATTCAAAGAAAAACATATTCACATTTAAATAATTAAATATAAAAAACTAAACCATAAAAATATTTCTTTACATTTACATATTTAAATAAAATAAAAATAATCAAATTTATTTCAAATATCTTAAATGACTATATTTTTAAATTTCTTAAAGAAATTTCTATACTTTTTCTATTTTCAAAATTTTATGAATTTGAATTAAAAATTCTACATTTTTGCTATATTTTTAAATTTCTACTGTTATATTTTTCATAAATATTTAATAAATTTTAATAATTTTCTATTTTAAAATTTTAATAAACTTCGATTATAAATTTGATATTTTGTTATATTTATAATTTTATATTTCTATAGTTTTAAATATTGTTTTTATATTTTTTACAAACAGAAATTTAATTTTTCAAAAAAAAGAAGAATAATTAAACGGCATTATAGTAAAATAAAATTTGAGAAAATAAAATTGTACTGATAATAAAGATGTGAAAAAATTTATCTATTATTATCTAAGTTAGCGCTATTGTGCTTCAAACTATAAAAATTAGGTGGTGATACAAATTTTGGACAGTCAATGAAATAACAAAAAATTTAATAAAAAACAATAATGATATATGTGAACAATCACGTCGTCAGGTTAATAAAAAATAATGAAAAACTCAATAAGAAAATATAAAACTTTAGCATACGAAAATAAATTTTTAAGACAGTTACTCTGTTTCTTTCAACACTTAGTATATGTGAACATCCTGCAGAATGAAGACAGAGAGTGACATTTAAAGTTGCGTAACTATTGAGTGGAAAAACTCCACAGCAGTCTTTCTTGGATAAAATCAAAAGAAGGTGAAAACAAACTAGAATGTAGAAGCACTCGTGTGCAATGCTATTAAGGAAGCATAATCACCTTCCTTGTTCAGTAAAGCTTCATGAGTTCCCTTTTCTGTTATCACACCATTTTTTACTACTGCAATTAAATCCGCACCCTTTATAGTAGATAGCCTATGAGCCACTACTACTGTGGTTCGGTTCACCATAACACGCTCTAGTGCATCCTGAACCACTTTCTCAGACTCTGCATCAAGTGCACTAGTCGCCTCATCCAGTAGTAATATTTTTGGATTCTTCACTATTGCTCGTGCAATTGCCACTCGTTGTTTCTGCCCTCCAGATAGCTGAATCCCTCTTTCCCCAACTATTGTGTCATAACCCTGCACATACAACATATTGCACATACGGTGTCTTAAAAACTAGTACAAATTCTGAATTTTGTGTATATGGTTGCAAGAGACTTTAAGAGACGTGAGTTTATAGGACACCGTAATTTACCTCCTGCAAACTACTGGTGAAGTTGTGAGCATTTGCCAGTTCTGCTGCAGCTATAACTTCTGCCTCTGTTGCATCCCCTCCTTTGCCATATGCAATATTGGCTCGGATGGTATCATTAAACAGCACAGGCTCTTGGCTCACCAGACCCATCTGCTGTCTTAGCCATTTAATTTGCATGCTTTTTATTTCTTTTCCATCCAGTGTAATGTGACCTGAGTCTGGATCGTAAAACCTCAGCAACAATGAGATCACTGTTGATTTTCCACTTCCACTTTCCCCAACCAGTGCAACTGTCTGTTTATTTTATCAGTATAATCACTTAATCTAATAGTTTAAGAAGAACAACCAACCTAATCTATCAGAATGGATGGACAGTTAAGAGTTACCTTGCCACTATGAATAGTCAAGCAAAGATCTCTGAATATTTGAACATCAGGTCTGGTGGGATACTTGAAACTAACATTTTTAAATTCAATCTCTCCCTTTACTTCTTCCAACGTCAATCCAGAGTCATCACTTGGGTCAATTTGTGACTTTCGGTCAAGAATAGCAAATACAGAAGCGGCAGCACTTTTTGATTTAGCAGAATCAAGGACCAAAGAGCCAGATTGGGAGATTCCCATAGCTGCCATGCTGAGTGCAAAAAGAACCTGGAAATCAGGAATCAATAAAATTAATACAAGAAAAATAGATAAACCCTGTGTGCATGCCACCTTACCTCACTGTTAGCATAACTGTCACGACAAGAAGTGGTGGAAATTTTGACTCAGTGAAAGATTAAGGAGAGAGTAAAGTAACTTACTCGGAAAACATCTGAGAATGTTGATTTTCCATCCTTTACAAGTCGAGCTCCAGCATAAAAACTGCATGCATAAACTGTGTAAAGCATGAAGAATGATATCCCATAACCAATTCCACTTATTATCCCTCGCCTTATGCCTGTTTTAATTGGTCCTTCACACTTTTTCTGGTACAATTCCATCACCTTCTTTTCAGCACAGAAAGAGGCAACAGTTCTTATACTCCCTACAGCATCACTTGCGACTTGACTTGCTTCCTCGTACAGTTTCTGCAAAGTAAATAGAATGTCAATTCTCGTATCAAGCACATGCATGTCACTGTTGAACCATTCTCTTACGTTATATAGTAACTTTTTTCTATCTTTTCTGGAAAACTTCTGTAAAATAAAAAAGAAATTGCTGAAACATACAGTCAGTTGGTTGATGTAAAAAACAAAACCTTTGTATCTGCGCTGAATCCTGTTATGAACTTGAATTGCAGGTAGCCATTTAGTCCTAATAACGGTGCCAAAGCTAGCACTATAAGAGCAAGCTGCCAGCTTGCTTCAAACGCAATTACCAAACAGCCGACAACTGTAGCAACATTTTGAACTAGCAAACCAAGTGCATCCCCAACCAAAGCTCGAACAGCAGCTGCATCAGAAGAGAGCCTTGCTCCAATTGCTCCACTTGAATGTTCAGCTTCATCGAACCAGCTAACTTCCATGTGAACAACTTTCTCAAAACACATTTTCCTAATCCTTTTGATCAACTTACCGCCGGCAACACCAAAAAAGTAGAATCTACAAGGAGCTGTGATAAATGATACCGCACCAATTGCAACAAATAGTAATGCCCAAAGCTTTGAATCTTTCCGAAGTTTATCTACTGGCTCATAGAAAATACTTATCATTTTGGAAACGAAGAGTGCAATAATGGGTGTTAATAGTCCACTTACTACTGCAGCTAGAGTCCCTATAAACAAGACTGGAATCTCGGACTTGTTTAAATATGCCAGGCGAGAGAGTGGCACTTGCGCTGGTGAAGAAACTGTTGCAGGAAGTGCTTGAGATCCNTGGATCGTAAAACCTCAGCAACAATGAGATCACTGTTGATTTTCCACTTCCACTTTCCCCAACCAGTGCAACTGTCTGTTTATTTTATCAGTATAATCACTTAATCTAATAGTTTAAGAAGAACAACCAACCTAATCTATCAGAATGGATGGACAGTTAAGAGTTACCTTGCCACTATGAATAGTCAAGCAAAGATCTCTGAATATTTGAACATCAGGTCTGGTGGGATACTTGAAACTAACATTTTTAAATTCAATCTCTCCCTTTACTTCTTCCAACGTCAATCCAGAGTCATCACTTGGGTCAATTTGTGACTTTCGGTCAAGAATAGCAAATACAGAAGCGGCAGCACTTTTTGATTTAGCAGAATCAAGGACCAAAGAGCCAGATTGGGAGATTCCCATAGCTGCCATGCTGAGTGCAAAAAGAACCTGGAAATCAGGAATCAATAAAATTAATACAAGAAAAATAGATAAACCCTGTGTGCATGCCACCTTACCTCACTGTTAGCATAACTGTCACGACAAGAAGTGGTGGAAATTTTGACTCAGTGAAAGATTAAGGAGAGAGTAAAGTAACTTACTCGGAAAACATCTGAGAATGTTGATTTTCCATCCTTTACAAGTCGAGCTCCAGCATAAAAACTGCATGCATAAACTGTGTAAAGCATGAAGAATGATATCCCATAACCAATTCCACTTATTATCCCTCGCCTTATGCCTGTTTTAATTGGTCCTTCACACTTTTTCTGGTACAATTCCATCACCTTCTTTTCAGCACAGAAAGAGGCAACAGTTCTTATACTCCCTACAGCATCACTTGCGACTTGACTTGCTTCCTCGTACAGTTTCTGCAAAGTAAATAGAATGTCAATTCTCGTATCAAGCACATGCATGTCACTGTTGAACCATTCTCTTACGTTATATAGTAACTTTTTTCTATCTTTTCTGGAAAACTTCTGTAAAATAAAAAAGAAATTGCTGAAACATACAGTCAGTTGGTTGATGTAAAAAACAAAACCTTTGTATCTGCGCTGAATCCTGTTATGAACTTGAATTGCAGGTAGCCATTTAGTCCTAATAACGGTGCCAAAGCTAGCACTATAAGAGCAAGCTGCCAGCTTGCTTCAAACGCAATTACCAAACAGCCGACAACTGTAGCAACATTTTGAACTAGCAAACCAAGTGCATCCCCAACCAAAGCTCGAACAGCAGCTGCATCAGAAGAGAGCCTTGCTCCAATTGCTCCACTTGAATGTTCAGCTTCATCGAACCAGCTAACTTCCATGTGAACAACTTTCTCAAAACACATTTTCCTAATCCTTTTGATCAACTTACCGCCGGCAACACCAAAAAAGTAGAATCTACAAGGAGCTGTGATAAATGATACCGCACCAATTGCAACAAATAGTAATGCCCAAAGCTTTGAATCTTTCCGAAGTTTATCTACTGGCTCATAGAAAATACTTATCATTTTGGAAACGAAGAGTGCAATAATGGGTGTTAATAGTCCACTTACTACTGCAGCTAGAGTCCCTATAAACAAGACTGGAATCTCGGACTTGTTTAAATATGCCAGGCGAGAGAGTGGCACTTGCGCTGGTGAAGAAACTGTTGCAGGAAGTGCTTGAGATACTCTGCCTGAAAGATCCAAGCTAATCGTTGGGGGAACAACATGTGATTCTGAGAAAGAGTTGCAACCACTGCTTCCAACTTCTGCTGACCTTTGGCTTATAGATCGTAAGGAAGATCTTTAACTTAATTGTCTACCAGAAAGAACTGGACTTTCTATCTTGTCTGTGTCATATGAAGCATTTTGTTCTGACCCTTTAATTTCCTGCAGTCTAATGAGCTGGCTATAGACTCCAGTGGGATCATTGGTGAGTTCGGCATGTGAACCTGATCATGGAAAAATATATAAACATTTGAAAATTGAGTCTGGGAGAAATTAAACTTCTATTACTGCATGCTATGTCTACCTTTTTCAACTATTTTTCCTTGATGAATAACAGCAATGCTATCAGCATTCCTTATGGTACTTAAACGGTGGGCTACAATGACTGTTGTTCGGTTTATCATCATTCTGTCCAGTGCTTCCTGTACAATTTTCTCAGACTCAACATCAAGTGAACTTGTAGCTTCATCCAGAAGCAGGATTCTTGGGTCTCTCAAAATCGCTCTTGCTATTGCAACCCTTTGCTTTTGACCCCCAGAAAGCTGAGTTCCATGCTCACCAACCATTGTGTCCAGTCCCTAGGTTCATCATTCATAATTATACCAAATTACATATGTAAAAGGAGCATTTAATATCATGATAGAACTAATTCTTTTTTTCACAAGTACAATATACTCTGGACATAAAGATAATCCTGAGAAAGGAAGAGAACATTTCAAACTGTTGAGCAGTATGCAATTTTGACATTTAAAATTTTAAATGAAGATTCAAGGGTTGACCTGAGGAAGTCTATTTATAAATTTGGCAGCATTAGCTAGTTCTGCTGATGCTCTGATTTCTTCAACAGTTGCATCATCCTTGCCATAGGCAATATTCTCTTTAATACTACAGGTAAAGAGAACTGGTTCCTGGCTAACAAGGCCTATTTTCTGTCTGATCCATTTCAGTTGAAATTCTTTGAGGTTGATACTGTCAATGAGAACTTCACCTGCCTGTGGATCATAAAATCTCTCTATCAAACTAACAACTGTGGATTTCCCACTCCCACTTTCTCCAACCAAAGCTGTCGTAGTGCCACTTGGTACTGAAAGAGAAAATCCATTGAATATAAGTTCGTCTGGTCTTGTAGGATAACTAAAGTAAACCTCCCTTAGTTCTATATGTCCACCGATGTCTTCAAGCTGCCGACCAGTTGTATCATAAGCATCGATTTCTGGCTTCCTCTTAATTGTTTCAAACATCTTAAAGGCAGCAGCTTTTCCAGCAGCAAAAGCGCTCAAGCTTGGAGATGCCTGCCCAAGAGACCTGGGATTGGAAATCTAGTTAGATAGGATGGTTTTCGGAGAGGAGGAAGGAATCAATTCAGAAACCTTAAGCTCATAATAAGAAAGAGGAAAACACAACTTACGCGGAGCCAGTCAAAACAGCCATCATTACTGTCACAACCTCTCCTCCTGTATATCCTTTCTCTATTATCATTTTTGCACCAAACCATATAGCCAAACCGTAACTGCAGGTAAAAACAAAGTAGAGAGCACCAAACCCAAAACCAGAAGCTAGTGCCTCTCGCACTCCAGCCTTGTAAGCTTTGATTAAGGACTGACTATATTTATCTATTGCTTGCTTCTCCCCAGTGAATGATGCAACCTGCATTGGATAAGTGGAAGTCATTCATATCTTCTGCCATATCAAAAGGAAAAATCTGGAGTTATTGTTTTGTTCAGTATGCATACAGTTCGGATAGAACCTATTGTCTGCTCTACTACAGTTGCAGCTAGGGAATAAGCTTCTTGTCCCCTGGATGATGCTTTTGCAATAACAAGGCTTACCATGGCGCCACCCAAAACAATAAGTGGAATACAAGATAACATGACAACAGTTAGAAGCCATCCCCTGATGAATGCTATTACAAAACCTCCAACGGAAGTTGCCAGTAACTGTAAGAACTGTCCTACCTGAAATATAAGGGAGAAAAAAAGCATTGAAAGAAACAAATTTTACCTCAAACGACAAGGTAATGGTTTAAGACTTGTAAGGTGGTTCATTAAAATTAATACCTTTTCACCCATGGCATCTTGAATAAGAACAGTATCACCTGACATCCTTCCAACAACCTCTCCTGTTCTAGTTTCCTTGTCAAAGAAGGTGACATCTTGCCTCAAAATAGTTTGAAGGTATAATCCTCTAATTCTAGCAGCTTGTCTCTCTCCAGTGATCATCCAGCATGTTAACTCTGGTTCATAACAAACGGGGTTTCTTTAAGGGTGATGATTGACCAAACTAATTAGGTAGATTGTAAGAACTAACAAATAATCTGATGTACTTACGCAAAAGTGATGCAAAACAGGTTACCACAGCCAAGTATACAAATTCCAAAGACACCTGATACGGTAATTTGATGTGATGTGTTAAATCTGAGAATGTTAAGTTACCACTTCTGATATTCCTAGTAACTCCTCAACCGCTTCACCAATTTCACCNTTATCATTTTTGCACCAAACCATATAGCCAAACCGTAACTGCAGGTAAAAACAAAGTAGAGAGCACCAAACCCAAAACCAGAAGCTAGTGCCTCTCGCACTCCAGCCTTGTAAGCTTTGATTAAGGACTGACTATATTTATCTATTGCTTGCTTCTCCCCAGTGAATGATGCAACCTGCATTGGATAAGTGGAAGTCATTCATATCTTCTGCCATATCAAAAGGAAAAATCTGGAGTTATTGTTTTGTTCAGTATGCATACAGTTCGGATAGAACCTATTGTCTGCTCTACTACAGTTGCAGCTAGGGAATAAGCTTCTTGTCCCCTGGATGATGCTTTTGCAATAACAAGGCTTACCATGGCGCCACCCAAAACAATAAGTGGAATACAAGATAACATGACAACAGTTAGAAGCCATCCCCTGATGAATGCTATTACAAAACCTCCAACGGAAGTTGCCAGTAACTGTAAGAACTGTCCTACCTGAAATATAAGGGAGAAAAAAAGCATTGAAAGAAACAAATTTTACCTCAAACGACAAGGTAATGGTTTAAGACTTGTAAGGTGGTTCATTAAAATTAATACCTTTTCACCCATGGCATCTTGAATAAGAACAGTATCACCTGACATCCTTCCAACAACCTCTCCTGTTCTAGTTTCCTTGTCAAAGAAGGTGACATCTTGCCTCAAAATAGTTTGAAGGTATAATCCTCTAATTCTAGCAGCTTGTCTCTCTCCAGTGATCATCCAGCATGTTAACTCTGGTTCATAACAAACGGGGTTTCTTTAAGGGTGATGATTGACCAAACTAATTAGGTAGATTGTAAGAACTAACAAATAATCTGATGTACTTACGCAAAAGTGATGCAAAACAGGTTACCACAGCCAAGTATACAAATTCCAAAGACACCTGATACGGTAATTTGATGTGATGTGTTAAATCTGAGAATGTTAAGTTACCACTTCTGATATTCCTAGTAACTCCTCAACCGCTTCACCAATTTCACCTTAGATGTTTCACCAATATGGATTAATATTAACAAAAGGGATTCATGAGGAATTACCTTGGAAACTTCAACAACAACTTCGTTGGAGTTTTTGGTTCCTCCAAATGCGTTGATCATATTTCCAAATAACAAAGTCATCAAGGGAGGGGAGATTCCATTCGCGATAGCACCCATAGTCCCCACGATCATCAATAAATGATCAAAAGAATCAGCAAATGAGAAAAGTTTGTATAACGGTATTGTTTTGGCAGATTCATCTTTGGACTTTCTCTTTGAATCTTGCTTCCTCTCAGAATGTCCATTCAAGTCTATATCCTCTGACATTTTCTTGATGGAAAACTTTGCACACCCCTGTACCACTAGTTAGTGATCACTATAAACCAAAAACGCTTGCATCAATTGCATGAAGATTCAAATTAGTAGAACACATCAAGATTATTGTGCTGTCCAAAAATTATAACCTTATTGTGAAATCTAACTTTTTATTCACTTCTTGACTTGTTGTTGTGTGTGCAGTGAGTTTGGCATTTTCTTAATGAGGTTCTGAATTCAGTCAATGTCATACGTAAGAATTACTTCAGTGAAAACCATGACTCAACTTCAACAAAATGTTCTTCAGCAGAAAATAAGCAACTTAAAATGGCAACGAGTTAACACCAAAAACTGCATCAACTAACACTTCGAGTGATTGGCCTGGCAAAACAAGTTTCCTTGGCAAAGTTTATAAAACATATTCCTGCTTTTAAAAGGGAATTCTTGACAGTTAAAAAAATTTCTTCTAGGAAATAATTTCAATCATTTAAAAGCCATTTAAGAAATAAGAATGCGTCTCTGTCGGATTATTCCTTTTGAATTTAAATATAATTCATTTTTTTATTAATAAAGAAAATTAGCTATTACAATTAAATTTACTGCTGACAAAAAAACAATTAACTTTACTAATTATGTCTAAAAGTGGGTTTAAAGAATTTTAGGTGTCATCTATCTTTGTTTTAAGTACTTCATAAATTTTTTTTTTATTTTAGGTACAAATAAATTAAATATTTTAATTTTCATTTATTTTATTATTTACTTAACTTGTATTAAAAAATTTAAAAGTATATTACCGTCTAGTCAATCTTAAATCGAACAATTTAAACAGGACTAATCATGTCATAACATAACCGTGTATTATTTTGAAACTGAGTAGTTGCGATAAGAGGTCCAATGGTCAACTTACAAACAAAAAACCTATAACACTTATTGGTTTAAGATAAAGTATGATTATAATCAATTGGGTTGTAATTAGACTATCTTTTATAGAAAGTTCATTTGAAATCTATAAATACAGATTTTAAGTAAAGAAGTAAGTAATGACATTTAATATATGCTTAAATAGTCAAATATTTATTAACTTTGACATCAGAGTATCTTTTATTATATGTAATTTCTAACTGTAAATTGACAAACGAATAGTAACACTAAAACAAACATTGAACTTTCAATAACTCAGTAATACAACAAATCTTTGATCTTGACTCCATATCCAAAAGAAATATATTTTTTATACACCAAAAACATGCATAGATGTAGAAATCAAAGAAGAAAGACATAATTGTTAACCATAATAAGCATACTATCTTAAAATAGTAAAATTAATTAAGTCACACACACTTAATAATATTGAAAAAAAATATTATTAATATGATACTTAATTTTAAAAATAATGTATTAAATATAAAAAATTAAAAAAATAAAAATATCAAAATTGGATTATAACTAATGAGTTCACCTAATTTGAGTTGAGTTAAAGGTGAACTAATATATAACCTACCAACAACTATTAATTATTAATATTTTTATCATTTTTATAAGTTTTTTATTAAAATTATTTATTATTTCAAATTATATAGATTTATAATATGACTTTTTTAAGTACTAAATATTATTTAATAATATTTAAATAGTTTAGATATTTAATTTATTTATTTATCAATTTATATATATATATATATACATATATATATATATATATACATATATATATATATGTCGATATTTTAATTTTTCGCCTACTATCTTTATAATAATATTTAGAGAGTTTGACACCAGGGCACTGACGAGGGCAGGGAGTGATCGCCGGTGCAAGAGACACGAAGTGCAAGGGGTACTAACAAGGAGCGGCTCCTAACAGGCTTCTAGTGCAAGGGACACATGGACAAATCGAACATACACCGGAATGAGAGGGATCTAGAGACTGTATAGGTATGGGACTATACAGGTGAAGGATAGCTTAAAGGGATTGATTTGGCTACTCATATCACCAAAATGCATTTGTTTTTCGGTAGCCTAACCCATGAAGTAAACACTTTGATTACTTTGATTTTATTATTTTAAAAACATTTAATCAAGTCAATATATTCTTATTATAATATAATAAATATATAAATAAATTGTAAAAAAATATTTCCAAATCCACAAATCCATCAANATATATATATATATGTCGATATTTTAATTTTTCGCCTACTATCTTTATAATAATATTTAGAGAGTTTGACACCAGGGCACTGACGAGGGCAGGGAGTGATCGCCGGTGCAAGAGACACGAAGTGCAAGGGGTACTAACAAGGAGCGGCTCCTAACAGGCTTCTAGTGAAAGGGACACATGGACAAATCGAACATACACCGGAATGAGAGGGATCTAGAGACTGTATAGGTATGGGACTATACAGATGAAGGATAGCTTAAAGGGATTGATTTGGCTACTCATATCACCAAAATGCATTTGTTTTTCGGTAGCCTAACCCATGAAGTAAACACTTTGATTACTTTGATTTTATTATTTTAAAAACATTTAATCAAGTCAATATATTCTTATTATAATATAATAAATATATAAATAAATTGTAAAAAAATATTTCCAAATCCACAAATCCATCAAACAAAAATGAATCGAGTCAATTTATAAAATTTTTGATTCACCAAAAAATAAGTTGGACTGAACTTATCTTTTTTAACTCAATCTATCTATGATGAGTCAACTATGTGAAATGGATTTACTTACCTTGACATAAAAAAATTAATAAATACTTAAAATTTATTTAAATATTAAAAATAATAATATTTTGTTAAAGTCAGTTTTCATTAAGGCTTGATGATGAAAGTAAAAGGAGAAGAGAAATCGGAATTGAATGGTATTCTCAAAAGAGTTCTTAACCTAATGTGGAGAGAATTGGCTATAATTAGCTTGGAATGAATAAAGGAGAGTTAATCACACAAGAATTCTTATAATTGAGTTTTGTAAAAAAAAATAATAGGAAGTTAATTAAAAATACTTCCATTGATATATTTAAAAGTTAACTAAACATAAATAGAATATGTATTGAATTTTTATATTATAATTTAAATGTAAACATTGGTATAAATTTTTTCAAACCCTTATAATAACAGTGTCAAAATTAATATTAATAATAATTTTTAATTACTTAACTAATTAATCACAATTTTTTACATAGCCGACACCTAAAAGTAGATTCTAAATAATAAATACTATTTTAGTGTTTTACCAGAACTACCTCTTCAAAGCAACAATTATTTGAGAAGACATATTATACACTAGTTTATGTTAGCCAAAAGGCAGAACCTATGATGCTTACGTCTGTAAAAACAAAAAGACAATTATATATTTGGGATGATGTTTAATAAATTGATTTTAAATTAAATTGAGGTTGTAAATTGGTTAAATTAATAAATAAAATTAGCCATTACAGTTAAATTTACTGCTGACAAAAAAAAAACAATTAGCTTTCCTGATTATGTCTAAAAGTGGGTTTAAAGAATTTTAGGTGTCATCTTTGCTTGAAGTACTTCATAAACATGTTAAGTACAAATAAATTAAATATTTTAATTTAAATTTATTTTATTTCACCGTCTGGTTAATTTTGGATTGAATGGTTTAAACACAACATGTCACAAAAATAATTGTGCATTACTCTAAAACCGAGTGAATTTATAAAAAAATTATCTCTACACTATTTAATGTAAGATAAAGTCAAATTGATCGTAATTAGGTTATTCTTAATAAAAATCATTTTAAAATTTATACATAAAGATTTTAAGTACAGAGATAAATGATAATATTTAATATATATTCACTATTTAAATAGTCAAATCTTTATAAACATCTAAAAAGAATAATGATGTAATAATAAACATTTAAACTTTAATAAGAAATCTTTGATATGTATTCCATATCCAAAATAAATATCTTCTTTAAATATGTTATGAAAGTGTTGCGTGAAATAGAAGAATAAAAGAAGAAAGAAATAAGATAACAAATATGACTATGATGGGTAAACATGTTATCTTAAAATAATGATTAATTAATTCTAAGTTAATCTATATTCGTTAAAGAAATTACCAAAACAGATTCTAACTCGTAAGTTAACATTAGAATTCGAGTTAAGTTAAAAGGTAAACTAATATTTAACTTATCAATAAGATACTTCATTAATATTTTTATTATTTTTATAAGTTTTTTTATTAAAATTATTTACTATTTCAAACTATATTATATAATTTGATATTTTTAAGTACTAAAATATTGTTTAATAAGATTAAAATAGTTTAGATATTTATTTTTAAGTACTTTAATTTTTAATTATTATTTTTATAATAATATTTGAAGAATTGAAGAAACATTTTGATTTCATTATTATAAAAAAATTAATCAAATCAAAATCAATATATTTTTATTGTATTATAATAAATATAATAAATATAAAAAATAAATTGTAAAAGTAAAATATTTATAAGTCAATTCGCAAACTCATCAACTAATAATTAATCAAATCAGTTTAAAAAAAAATTAATTCACCAAAAAATAATTGGATTTAACTTATTTTTTTAACTCAATCCATAACGAGTACTAAGTAAATTTACTCATCTTGATATAAAAATATAATAAATACTTAAAATTTATTTAAATATTAAAACTAATAGTATTTTGTTAAAGTCGTTTTCATTAAAACTTGATAAAAGTAAAAGGAAAAGAGAAATCAGAATTGGATGGTATTGTGAGAAGAATTCTTAACCTAATGTGCAAAGAATTAGCTATAACTAACTTGGAATGAATAAAGGAGAGTTAATCACACAGTAATTCTTATAATTGAGTTTTGTTATAAAAAAATTAATAGAAGTTAATTAAAAATACCTCCATTGATGATATATTTAAAAGTTAACTAAACATAAATAGAATATGTATTGAATTTTTATAATTTAAATGCAAACATTGGTATAAATTTTTTTTAAACCCTTATAATAACAATGTCAAAATTAATCTTAATAATAATTTTTAATTAATTAACTAATTAATCACAATTTTTTACATCGCCAACACCTAAAAGTAGATTCCAAATAAAAAATACTATTTTAATGTTAGACCAAAACTACCTCTTCAAAGCAACAATTGTTTGAGAAGACATATGATCCACTCTTTTATGTTAGCCAAAAGGCCGAATATATGATGCTGACGTCAGGAAAAAGACAATCATATATTTGGGATGATGTTTAATAAACTGATTTTAAATTAAATTGAGGTTGTAAATTGGTTAAATTAATTTTAAGGTTATTTTTTTATAATTATTTTGGTGTGGTACATTTAATTATGTTTTTTAATAAAAAATTTGAATCTGACACATTTTCTAAACTATAACATCACGTGAGTGCAAAAGAAAATTCTATATTTTATTAATTATATATCTTTTTACTAGGGTGAGCAAAGTGCACTGCACTGTAAAAATTTATAGTTAATTATAAATCAGTTCAGAACTGAACTAAAAAATAGTTCAAAATAACTGAACTGAACTATTTTCTGATTCAATTATACTAAGTACAGTTCAGTTAATTAGTTTTTAGTTTATCATACTACAATTCAATTAACTATAGTCCATGTTCAATTAATCCATGACAACTCATCAACACTACACTTTCCCAGAAGAAATAAAACACGATAAAGTAAAATTCTCATAATTAATTAATATACGTCACAATAATATTAATTTGATAGAAACAAAAAATAATAAAATAATTCATCCACACAAATATTATGTCATCTGCGTAATGGTGTGAAGATGCTAGCATCCTTCTTCACCAATCCTCTAGAGAGAAGATGCTGCAGAACCAAAGCCCTCGGAAAGAATACTTACTCCAAATTGTACCTAAACAACCAAAGGTACACAATAAACACAGAACTATCACATCAAAGCTGACCCAACCAAAACCCAGTCACTGCATCAAGTTTCTCCATGGAACAGAGCATCATTGCAGGGTGTTTTCTAAACACATCATAAAGATGACCTAAACCACTATGATAGAAAATGGCATAAATCACAGTTCATAGTTAACTGTACAATTCACAGTTAACTGTACACTAAGTTCAATATTTTTAAACTGAACTGTTAAACAATATAATTGGTTTTTAGTACAAATAGTTTAAGTTTTTTAAGTACCAAATAGTATAGATTAACTATAATTTACAGTTTTTTTTACTGTGCCGAGTCCTACTTTTTACTAACATTTCCTTATATGATCATCTATTTGGGACTAAATTATGTTTATGTATAAATTTATTTGGGGCTAAATTATTGTTTAATCTTCTTGTTTCCTTACCAAGATCATCTATTTTAAAATGGTTTTTTAACAGTTTTATTTAAAGGGTTTAATTTATGTTCTTATTTTTTTAAAATATTTCACTTTTATTTTCCAAACTAAGTCACAAAGCCACAAATACTAAGTTAACTGTTAACCTTGTTGTTTTAAGACCACCATTAATTGACATTTTAAAATCCTTTACATAATAATTTTATAATTTTTGTAAATTATTAGTAAAAATATATGTGTTACGAATATGTTTTTTTTATTTTATGATATTAAAAAATAATAAAATTATCATTGTTATTATTATTATTATTATTATTATAGATTATAAAATTAAATATAAATATTTTTATAATTTTATTATAAATATTTTTTAATTATTTTATAGATAGTTTTATCATTAAAATATAATTAAATTTAAAAAAAACGGTCAAATTGAAAAAACAATTACTTAAAAAGGTAAATTTAATAAAATAATTATTTTAATTTAAAAGGTAAAATTGAAAAGATAAAAGAACAAATTTATTTTTTATATATATGTATAAATAATTTATTTATTAAAGAAACCAAAACTATACTGACCCTGTATTAAATGCGCGCATTTTTTCCTTTAATTCATACTTCTTTTCATAAGACGAGTTCTTTGCCAAAATTTTTTTTAATGAGGCATTTATCCATAATGCAAATTCATTAAGCAAATTAAGCTCGAATTCAACAATTTAAATTCATTCATAAAATTCAGTAAATAATAAAACTCATTCTTCCATCAATTTAGTCTATTTTGAGGTAGTGAATCATAAAACTCATTCATCTATTAAGTTAATCCACTTGTAACTTAATTTTAGCTTTCGTGAAAGAGACTTATATATGTAACCTCAATATATTATAAAATATCTCCAAAATATTTATAATTAATATTTTATAATATAATAATTTATTATTCAATTCTATTATATCCTTAACACTCTTTAAATATCATAATCATATATATATATATATATATATATATTTATAAGTTTGTTAATTTACCTAACTTAATATATATCAAATTTTAGTTGACAAAAATACATTCATATATTATATGGATTCTAAATTTTAAAGTTAAAACTATTTAAATAATTTTTGTTTTATTTTATTTTTTTATTTTAAATTAAAAATAAAATTTATTAAAATATCTTTATGTTTAAAATATATCTTTTCTTATGAATAAGATATTTTTCACAACTAAAATTTGGTATAATTTAAAACGTTATATAAGTTAGCAAAATCCTTTATTTATTTATTTATATGTGATTTAAAAAGTCTATAAATATAACCTTTCACCGTATAGAGTAAAGATTCAATATTCAATTACTCGACTCAACTCTCATGATATTTTTCATTTATTATTTCTCCAATGCGGATCTTACATCTCTTACATATTTAAGTATAGAGTCTTTTTGTAAGTACAACTTCTTTTTTCCTTGAAACTCGGGTTTTCTCACTGAGAAATATCAACTTCTTTTTTTTTAACATCAAACTCAGGTTTGTGGAAGATGTTTATAATGAAAAAAAGTGACATAAATATAATACAGATGTGTTACGAAAACCAATAAAAGTCCAGGAAAAATTCAAAAACAGACAGCATACTACACCTAAATAAAGCCACAAGAGTGACATGTAAACTTGATACATCATGGAGAAGCACAAAAATGCCGAGCAAGTAAACTTTGCTGAGATATAATCAGCCTAGAACTGTATAGGGTTAGGGCACTAAGATGTAGAAGCACTTGTATGCAATGCAACCAAGGAAGCATAATCACCTTCCTTCCTCAGTAGTGCTTCGTGTTTTCCCTTCTCTGCTATCACACCATTTTTTACTACTGCAATTAAATCTGCACCCTTTATAGTAGATAGCCTATGAGCCACTACTACCGTGGTTCGGTTCACCATAACACGCTCTAGTGCATCCTGAACCACTTTTTCAGACTCTGCATCAAGTGCACTAGTCGCCTCATCCAGTAGTAATATTTTTGGATTCTTCACTATTGCTCGTGCTATTGCCACCCGTTGTTTCTGCCCTCCAGATAGCTGAATTCCTCTTTCCCCTACTATTGTGTCATAACCCTGCACATACAATATATTGCTAAGACCAATGCATACGTTGTTCATGACATCGTACGGTGTGTTAAAAACTAGTATTTTGTGCATATGGTTGCAATAGTCTTTAAGAGACGTGAGTTTATAGGACACCGTAATTTACCTCCTGCAAACTACTGGTGAAGTTGTGAGCATTTGCCAGTTCTGCTGCAGCTATAACTTCTGCCTCTGTTGCATCCCCTCCTTTGCCATATGCAATATTGGCTCGGATGGTATCATTAAACAGCACAGGCTCTTGGCTCACCAGACCCATCTGCTGTCTTAGCCATTTAATTTGCATGCTTTTTATTTCTTTTCCATCCAGTGTAATGTGACCTGAGTCTGGATCGTAAAACCTCAGCAACAATGAGATCACTGTTGATTTTCCACTTCCACTTTCCCCAACCAGTGCAACTGTCTGTTTATTTTATCAGTATAGTCAGTTAATCTAATAGTTTAAGAAGAACAATCAACCTAATCTATCAGATTGGATGCACAGTTAAGAGTTACCTTGCCGCTAGTAATAGTCAAGCAAAGATCTCTGAATATTTGAACATCAGGTCTCGTAGGATACTTGAAACTAACATTTTTAAACTCAATTTCTCCTTTCACTTCTTCCAACGTCAATCCAGAGTCATCACTTGCGTCAATTTGTGACTTTCGATCAAGAATAGCAAATACAGAAGCGGCAGCACTTTTTGAGTTAGTTGAATCGGGTACCAAAGAGCCAGATTGAGAGATTCCCATAGCTGCCATGCTGAATGCAAAAAATACCTGGAAATCAGGAATCAATAACGTTAGTACAAGAAAAACATCGAAACATTGTACCCAGAACTATCCTATCTCAGTGAACAATAGCCTAGCAGACATTGTGATGACATGAAGAAAAGTGCTGAACATTTTGACTTAGTGAACGAGTTAGAAGAGCAACTTACACGGAAAACATCTGAGAATGTTGATTTTCCATCCTCTACTAGTCGAGCTCCAGCATAGAAACTGCATGCATAAACTGCGTAAAGCATGAAGAATGATGCCCCGTAACTGATTCCACTTATTACCCCTCGCCTTATGCCCGCCTTAATCGGTCCTTCACATTTTTCCTGGTATAATTCCATCACCCTCTTTTCAGCACAAAAAGAAGCAACTGTTCTTATACTGCCTACAGCATCATTTGCCACTTGACTTGCTTCCTCATACAGTTTCTGTTAGGTAAATAGAATATTAATATAGATCAAAAGCACATTAAGAGCACGTGCTTGTTGTCACACTTTTGATCCATGTTCTGATGTTCATGCATTAATTTTTTCACTCTTCTCAGTGTGGTACCAAAAACGAAAATGAAAAGTACAAAGAAATGGGTCCAAATCCCTCTGAAGTTGAAACATGGATATTTTCTAAATCACAATTTAAGTTGATAGATTAGTGGAAGTAAAAAACAAACCTTTGCGTCTGCGCTGAATCCTTTCAAGAACTTAAATTGCGCGTATCCATTTAGTGCTAATAGCGGTGCCAAAGCAAGCACTATAAAAGCAAGGTGCCAACTTGCTTGAAAAGCAATTACCAAACTGCCGACAGCTGTAGCAAGATTTTGAACCAGCAAACCAAGTGCATCTCCAACCAAAGCTCGAACAGCAGCTGCATCAGAAGAGAGCCTTGCTCCAATTGCTCCACTTGAATGTTCAGCTTCATCAAACCAGCTTACTTCCATGTGAACAACTTTCTCAAAACACATTTTCCGAATCCTTTTGATCAGCTTACCTCCAGCAACACCAAAAAGGTAGAATCTACATGGCATCATGGTAAATGATACCAGACCAAGTGCAACAAATAGCAATGCCCAGAGTTTTGAATCTTTACGAAGTTCATCATGTGGCTCATAGAAAATACTTATCATTTTGGAGATAAAGATTGCAATAATGGGTAGTATAACTCCATTTACTGCTGAAGCTAGAGTCCCTGCCAGTAAGACTAGAATCTCTGGCTTGTTTAAATAAGCCAGGCGATATAATGGCACTTCCTGTGGTGAAGTTGAAGGAGGTGCTTGAGGTTCTCCTCTTGCAGGCTCCAAGAAGCCAACTGATACTGGCACACCATGTGCTGCTGAGAATGAGCTATGACGACTGCTTCCAACTCCTGATGACCGTTGGCTTATAGATCTTAAGAAAGATCTTTGACTTGATTGTCTTCCAGAATGCACTATACTTTCTAGCTTGTCTCTGTCATTTTCAGCTTTTTTTTCTGATCCTTTAATTTCTTGCAATCTAATGAGCTGGCTATAGGCTCCGTTAGGATCTTTGGTGAGCTCAGCATGGGAACCTGATCAAGGAAAAATATATCACTAAAGTATATAAACATTTGAGAATTGAGACATGGAAAAATTAGATCTCTATTACAGCATGCTCTGTCTACCTCTTTCAACTATTTTTCCATGATGAATAACAGCAATGGTATCCGCATTCCTTATAGTACTTAAGCGGTGGGCAACAATGACAGTTGTTCGGTTTATCATTATTCTGTCCAATGCCTCCTGCACAATTTTCTCAGATTCAGCATCAAGGGCACTGGTAGCTTCATCCAAAAGTAGGATTCTTGGGTCTTTCAAAATTGATCTTGCTATTGCAACTCTTTGCTTTTGACCCCCAGATAGTTGAGTTCCATGCTCACCAACCATTGTGTCTAGCCCCTGCGTTTATAGTCATACAACATTACCAAAGTTAGATGAATATGAATTTTCTTACTTAAGTCTAAATACTATGCAGAAAAAGATGATCCTGACAAAGGAAGCGAAAATTTCAAACTGTTTATTACTGTGCATATTTTACATTTAAAAGGATATTAAAGGGTTGACCTGAGGAAGTTTATCTATAAATTTGGCAGCATTGGCTACTTCTGCTGCAGCTCTGATTTCCTCATCAGTTGCACCATCCTTGCCATAGGCAATATTCTCTTTAATACTGCAAGTAAAGAGAACAGGTTCCTGGCTAACTAGGCCTATTTTCTGTCTGATCCACTTCAGTTGAAATTCTTTAAGGTTGATACTGTCAATGAGAACTTCACCTGACTGTGGATCATAAAATCTCTCTATCAAACTAACAACTGTGGATTTCCCACTCCCACTTTCCCCTACCAAAGCTGTTGTAGTGCCACGTGGTATTGAAAGAGAAAATCCATTGAATATCAGTTCATCTGGTCTTGTAGGATAACTAAAGCAAACCTCCCTAAGCTCTATATCTCCACGAACGTCATCAAGCTGCTGACCCGTAGTGTCATAAGCATCAATTTCTGGATTCCTCTTAATTGTTTCAAACATCTTAAAGGCAGCAGCTTTTCCAGCAGCAAAAGCGCTCAAGCTTGGAGATGCCTGTCCCAGAGACCTAGGATTGGAAAGGAGATTATAATTATCTTGTCATACCATCTAATTGGGGAAGGGAATCAATTTTATAAATTATAGGCTCACACTCAGAAAGAGAAACACACACAACTTACATGGAGCCAGTCAAAACAGCCATCATTACTGTCACAACCTGTCCTCCTGTATATCCTTTCTCTATTATCATTTTTGCACCAAACCATATAGCCAAACCGTAACTGCAGGTAAAAACAAAGTAGAGAGCACCAAACCCAAAACCAGAAGCTAGTGCCTCTTGCAGTCCAGCCTTGTAAGCTTTGACTAAGGACTGATTATAATTAACTATAGCTTGCTTCTCCCCAGTGAATGAAGCAACCTGTAATGGATAAATGGAAGTCAATTACATATTCAGCAACATCAAAAAAAAAAAAAAACAGGGGCTCTGTTTTTATCAGGGTGCATACAGTTCTGATAGAACCGATTGTCTGCTCCACTACACTTGCTGCTTTAGAATAAGCTTGTTGTCCCCTGGATGATGCTTTTGAAATAACCAGGCCTACCATAGCACCACAGAAAGCTAGAGGTGGAATACTAGATAGCATGACGACGGCTAGAAGCCATCCCCTGATGAATGCTATTACAAAACCTCCAACGAAAGTTGCCATGAACTGCAAGAACTGTCCCACCTGAAATCGCAGGTAGGGAAAAGCAATGAAGAAACAAAGTTTACCTTAAACGACAAAATGGTTTAAGACTTATAAGGTGGTTCGTTAAAATTAATACCTTTTCACCCATGGCATCTTGAATAAGAACAGTATCACCTGACATCCTTCCAACAACCTCTCCCGTTCTTGTTTCCTTGTCAAAGAAGGTGACATCTTGCCTCAAAATAGTTTGAAGGTATAAGCCTCTAATTCTTGCGGCTTGTCTCTCACCAGTGATCATCCAACAAGTCAACTCTGGTACGTAGCAAACAAGGTTTCATTTCGGGTCATAATGAATCATACTAACCAGTTAGATTAACAGATAATATGACATACTCACGCAAAAGTGACGCAAAAAAGGTGCCGATAGCCAAGTATACAAATTTCAGAGACACCTGAACACAGCAATTTGTTGCGATGCATTAAGTCTGAGAATGTTGTTACTACCATTGCTATAGTAAACAGGTGCTGTGTAGTGTAAAAGGGATTAGTAAAAGGGATTATGGGGAATTACCTTGGAAACTTCATCAACGACTTCTTTGGTGTTACTGTTACCTCCAAATGCATTGATCATATTTCCGAATATCAGAGTCATCAAGGGCAAGGAAACTCCATTCCCAAAAGCACCAACAGTTCCCAGAAACATCAATAAATGATCCAAAGGATCAGCAAATGAGAAAAGTTTGTATAAGGGTACTGTTTTGGCGGGTTCATCTTTGGCCTCGTTCTTCTTTGCCTCTTGCTTGCTTTTAGGATCTCCATTCAAGTCAGTATCCTCTGCCATCTTCTTACACTTCTCTACTACTGATTAGTAATCACTGTAAAGAGTATAATAAAAACCAGAAAGTGGGATCAGAATGCATTCAAAACCAAAAGAAGTAAACAACATGCTCAACCAAAACCTGAAGACATTTTGTACTAATGGTAGCATGCAGCACAACCAAATAGTTGAAAAGTGGAACAAAAGGCTCCTACTAATGTAAAACCAGTTCCAACTTGATAGTCCCACAACACAACAGTAGATAAATATTTTCAAAATCTTTGAAATTTGAATCAACAATATTATAATTTATAATTATATTGTTTTTTTTTTCTTTTCCTACTCTATTGGTTTGTTTTCATTACTGTATCAATATCAAAATTTCAATTTAATTCCCAACTTCTAAATTATTGACATTCTAATTTTACTGACATTATCAAATGGCCAAAATTAATGTTGTTTTGAAAATTATACTTTTTTTAAATAAGAGATTGAGCCCGTCCAATTAATTAAAAAAGGAAAAAAAGTAACAGCAATTTCTTGCCCCGCAAGTTAACAAATCCGATTAACAAATTATATTTCTGCTGTAAGGACGAAATCAAACTATTTGTATAGTGTTGAAATTATGATTATTTTATTTTCTTTAAAAAATAAACGTCTCATCGTCCATCATCATCATTTTGACTAAAAAACATTTTATCATTTCTTTTAAATACAAATCACTGTCAAATACTAATTTTAAATATTACATTATATATACATTTCTCTTACCCTGTGAAAGGGACTGGTGAACTAAGGTAGACACACGTAAGAGATTGTGCTTCGAGAAGGAAAGAATATATCTTTAATTCTTTAAAGTTGAGATAGATTTGTTTTGGTGTATGAAAAATAATTTATTTTAATATTTTAAATTTAATACAATATAATCTTAACTTACAAACATTTAATGTACGTAATTAGAAATAATTTTAAAAAAAAGTTATAATTACATCTAATATTCATCTTATCAATCTCAAACCGTTAGTTATCAATCAAAGAGTCTAATCACATTATTGATTGAATATCAATGATCAATCACATTTGATTAATTATTCTTGATCAATCATATTTGGCCGATTACTCTTGATCGATCAATTTTAATCGATCATCTTTAGTTGTTTACCTATGATCAATCACATTTGACCAACTTTTTGAAAAGTTATACTCATACATTACTGCAAAGAGTGTAAATATACAACTTATTGAACAAAACTCAAAGAAATTGAATAGTTGACCTCATTCACACCCAAAATAATAACCTTTAAATTGGCTTAGTCAATAATAAATTTTTATTTTGTTTTTAAAATAAAATAAATCTTAACTAAAAATCATTACTTTTAGTTTTTAATATTAAAAAATATTGGTTATTTTTAAATAATGCAATAGTGTTGACTTTAATTGTATGCTGTGAAAATCTAGAAAAAAAGTTTTTAGAACAGGGGTAGTTTTAAAATCATCACACTATAATATTTTAATATTTTAATATTTTAAAGGTTTAAATTGATATTTCAAATGACGATCCAAAATTAAACATATAATACCCTTTTTTAACCTTTGGTTAATTAACTTAAGTTTTTTTTAATCAATTAATTTTGCGTTTCTATATAAAAGCAAAATTATTGATTAAATTTAAACTCATTTGTTTTAATTTTGTTCCATCTTTGTATTTGACCCTTTCTACCGATATTGTCTACATCTCTTTAATTAAAATGAACGACATTTGAAAAACTGAGGACAATATGAAGTGAATGAATAATAATATAATGAATTAAAATGTCAAACATTTGCCAAATTGCCATTATTGGAGTTGGAATGAAAATAAGTGATAGTTGTATATATTTCCACGCACAGAAAAGAAAACTAAACCAAACCTTGAATTACTTGAGTATTTAGATTGTGAGATGATGCATAAATTAGGTTTGTTTGAAAATAGAAGCAAGTGATGAAAAAGACTTTTATCTGCAACTAAATGATTCAAAATATTTAGTTTTAATTAAATCTGAAGTCTACTTTGATAACTTTTGATGATTTGTTCGATATTCAAAAACATTATATTTTAAAATTGAATCTATATCATTTAATTAATCGAGTTATGTAAGTGGTAATTAAGTAAGATGAGATGATTGTTATGTTGTTCTACACTTGTAATTTTATAATTTAATGTAATTTTATAATTTTATAACGTTGTGATTTTATGACAATTTTTATTATTAATTTCAAAACTATAATTTTTTTTTAATAAAGCCAAACTTCAATCTCATCCAAAATCTCTTCAAAAGATAAATTTTCAACTCTCTCTTTATCTCTAGAGAATTGATGAAGAAGTTTTTAGAAAAGTCACAATCACTGAATAAACCTCATGAATAATGCAATTATTTTTAGCATTAATAATCTTCAAAATTAAAGTTGTGTGAATGTAATTAGAATCTAACTTTTTATCAAGCACACGGGTTCTGTATAGTAAATTAGAAAACCAAATTTTGTGAAAGATATATTAATGTAAAGTGATATAAATGAGTTACAAGAACAATTTCTGAAGAAAAAAAGAGATGAAAGGAAATTATCTTACATACTATGACATATATAAATAAAGGTATGAGAGAGTAGGACAAAAATTTGGTTGGAAGGGGACTAAGAAGTAGAAGCATTTGTGTGCAATGCAACTAAAGAAGCATAGTCACCACCCTTCTTCAGTAATGCTTCATGCTTTCCCTTCTCTGCTATCACTCCATTCTTAACCACAGCGATTAAATCAGCACCCTTAATAGTGGATAACCTATGAGCCACTACTATTGTGGTTCGGTCCACCATCACACGGTCAAGTGCATCCTGAACCACTTTCTCAGACTCAGCATCAAGTGCACTTGTGGCTTCATCTAGCAGTAATATTTTTGGATTCTTTACTATAGCTCGTGCTATTGCCACTCGCTGCTTTTGTCCCCCAGATAACTGAACTCCTCTCTCACCTACCACCGTGTCATAACCCTGCATTTATAGTATATGCTGTCAACATAACTTCCACTAATTCACAACTTTTAATATACTTAACAAATTACTAAACAAAAGAGAGTCTATAGAACACTGCAATTTACCTTCTGCAAACTACTTATGAACTTGTGGGCGTTTGCCAATTCTGCTGCAGCTATGATTTCTGCCTCTGTTGCGTCTCCTTTGCCATATGCAATATTGGCTCGGATGGTGTCATTAAACAGCACAGGCTCTTGGCTCACCAGACCCATCTGCTGTCTTAGCCATTTAACTTGCATGCTTTGAATTTCCTTTCCGTCCAGTGTAATGTGACCTGAGTCTGGATCATAGAATCTTTGTAACAATGACACCACTGTTGATTTTCCACTTCCGCTTTCTCCGACCAGTGCAACTGTCTGTTTATTTTATCAGCACAGTCAGTCAATCTATCGGTTTAGGAAGAACAATTTAGAGTGGTGAAGAAGACAGTGTTTAAATTAGAAGGTTACCTTGCCGCTGTGAATGGTCAAACTAAGATCTCTGAATATCTGAACATCGGGTCTTGTAGGATACTTGAAACTGACATGCTTAAGCTCAATCTCTCCCTTCACTTCTTCCAATGTTATTCCAGAGTCATCACTTGAGTCTATTTGTGACTTTCGGTCAATGATGGCAAATATGGAAGCAGCAGCAGTTTTTGCTTTGGCTGAATCAGGAACCAAAGAGCCAGATTGAGAGATTCCTATTGCTGCAAAACTGAGAGCAAAAAAAACCTGCAAATTGGACACAAAATCATCAATTCCTATAGTCTTGGTGATTAATCACTTGGCAATAATGGTGCCAACAAGTAGAGAAAAGTGATAAAATATTTTACACCGTGAACAAGTTGGGAGAGACATTTACCCGGAAAACATCTGTGAATGATGTTTTGCCATCCTCTACCAGTCGAGCTCCGGCATAAAAACTTGCTGCATAAACTGCGTACAGCACAAAGAATGATATTCCAAAGCTAACTCCACTGATTATCCCTTGCCTTATCCCCGTCTTAATTGGCCCTTCACATTTTCCCCGGTATAAATCCATCACCTTCTCTTCAGCACAGAAAGAAGCAACTGTTCTTATACTCCCCACAGCATCATTCGCCACTTGACTTGCTTCCTCGTACATTCTCTGTGGGCATATGGAATATCAAAATTCATAAGTCCAAAATGCATACTGAGCATATATGCTTGAAACATGGTTGATCCATGCTCTAACACAAAGTATATATTTTCCAATTATATTAACGTAATGCCAAAATTGTTTAAAGAAGCGAGGAACAAACCTTTGAATCTGCACTGAATCCTTTCAAGAACTTGACTTGAAAAAATCCGTTTAGTCCAAGTAGAGGCACCATAGCAAGGATTATAAGAGCAAGCTGCCAGCTTGATTCAAAGGCAATTACCAATCCAGTTATTGCTGAGGCAATATTCTGAACCAGCAAACCAAGTGCATCCCCAACCAATGCTCTGACGGAAGCTGCATCAGTTGAGAGCCTTGCTCCAACTGCTCCACTCGAATTCTCAGCTTCATCAAACCAACTTACCTCCATGTGAACTACTTTCTCAAAACATGCTTTCCGGATCCTCTGGATCAACTTACCACCAGCAACACCAAAAAGGTAGAATCTAGCTGGATAAACCAGGAGTGATACCACACCGACCGCAACAAATACTAATGCCCAAATTTTTGAATCTTTACGAAGTTCATCATGTGGTTCATAGAAAATATCTATCATTTTGGAGAGTAACAGTCCAAAAACAGGTAAGATTGCTCCAGCTATCATTGCAGCTACAATCCCCATCAGTAACACTGGAAATTCTGGCTTGTTTAGGTAACCCAGGCGACGAAGAGGCACTTCTGGTAGTAAACGAGATGTTGTAGGATGATCTTGGGGACCCTCACCGACGGGTTCTATAAAGCCAGCAGATGTGGGCAGACCAAATGATGCTGAGAGTGAACGACGACCACTGTTTCCAACTCCCATTGACTCTAGGCTTATAGATCGCAACAAAGAAGACCTTTTACTTGAAAGTCTTCCAGACTGCGATATACTCTCTTGTTTTTCTCTGTCTTCTGCGTTCTGTTCTGAATTCTTAATTTCTTGTAGTCTGATGAGCTGGCTATAGGCTCCTTCGGGATCCTTGGTGAGCTCATCGTGTGAACCTGATCAAGTTTTACTTTTAGTCATGCAAGGAGGAATATAAACAACAGGACCCTCCTAAAAAAGGTAAGTCATGGAAAAGATTCTATTACTATATTATATGTTTACCTCTTTAAACTATTTTTCCTTGATGGATAACAGCAATGGTATCCGCATTCCTTATAGTACTCAAACGGTGGGCAACAATGACAGTTGTTCTGTTTATCATTATTCTGTCCAATGCCTCTTGTACAATTCTCTCAGATTCAGCATCAAGGGCACTTGTAGCTTCGTCCAGAAGTAGGATTCTTGGGTCTTTCAAAATCGCTCTTGCTATCGCCACTCTCTGCTTTTGACCCCCAGAGAGCTGAGTTCCATGCTCACCAACCATTGTATCTAGTCCCTAAAATTCATAAATCATATAAAATTACATAGGTGAAAGGACCTTTCTAACAAAGATAGGAGTAAAAAAAATTATATTTTGTCTTGTACACTATGAAGATAAAAATATTACTGACAAAGAAAGCAAGAAAACCTTTCAAACAAATGAGGTTTGAGAACTCACCTGAGGTAGTTTGTCTATAAATTTGGCAGCATTAGCAAGTTCTGCGGCAGCTCTGATTTCTTCATCGGTTGCTCCATCCTTGCCATAGGCAATATTCTCTTTAATGCTACAAGTAAAGAGAACGGGTTCCTGGCTGACCAGGCCAATTTTCTGTCTGATCCATTTCAGTTGAAATTCTTTGAGATTGATACCATCAATAAGTACTGCACCGGAATGTGGATCATAAAATCTCTCTATCAAACTAACAACTGTGGATTTCCCACTCCCACTTTGTCCCACCAAAGCTGCAGTAGTGCCACTCGGTATTGAAAGCGAAAATCCATTGAATATTAGTTCATCAGGTCTCGTAGGATAACTAAAGCAGACTTCCCTAAGCTCTATGTCGCCACGAATGTCTTCAAGCTTCCGACCATTAGTGTCATAGGCATCGATTAATGGCTTCCTTTCAATTGTTTCAAACATCTTAAAGGCTGCAGCTTGTCCTGCAGCAAAAGCACTCAAGCTTGGAGATGCCTGCCCTAGAGACCTGGGAATCGAAATTTAGTTAGCCAGAAATACATATTATAAGTCTAATCCTCGGAGTTCTTGGATAGAGACAGCGGGAGATAATCAAGTTTTTGAAATTCTAGATTAGTAGAACCAAAAGAAACACACAACTTACATGGAGCCAGTCAATACAGCAAATATAACAGTCACAACCTCTCCTCCTGTGTATCCTTTCTCGATGATCATTTTCGCGCCAAACCAAATGCCCAAAGCGTAGCTGCATATAAAGACAAAGTATAGGACCCCAAAACCCAAACCAGAAGCTACTGCCTCGTGCACTCCATTGACGTAAGCCTTGATCAAGGACTGATTGTATTTAGCTATTGCTAGCCTCTCCCCAGTGAATGATGCAACCTGCATTAGAGAGATAAAGGTGATTTATATGTCAGCAATAACAAAAAGGAAAAATGAACAGTTTGTTTTAGCCTGTGTGCTTACAGTCCGGATAGAGCCAATTGTCTGCTCTACAACACTTGAAGCTTTGGAATAAGCAGTTTGTCCCCTGGATGACGCTTTTGTAATAACCAGGCTCATCAGAGCCCCGGACAAGACAAGAAGTGGAATACTAGATAGCATGACAACAGTTAGAAGCCACCCCTTGATGAACGATACAACAAACCCTCCAATGAAAGTTGCCATTAACTGAATAAACTGTCCCACCTGGTATCAAAGGGGAGAAAAGCAATTAAATAACCTTAAACTAAAACTCTTTTGTTTCTGTTTTTTTTTTTTTTTGTAGCTAATAAGAAAAGGATGGTTCGTTAATACCTTCTCACCCATGGCATCTTGAATTAGAACAGTATCACCTGACATCCTTCCAATAACCTCTCCAGTGTTAGTCTCTTTATCAAAGAAGGTTACATCTTGCCTCAGAATTGTTTGAAGGTATAAGCCTCTAATTCTTGCAGCTTGTCTTTCTCCCGTGATCATCCAGCATGCCAACTCTGGTACATAGCAAGCAAAGTTTCGTTAGCGGTTGATCAAATTGTAACAATCTAACTGGTTAGATCATAATAGCGTACGATCCGATGTACTTACGCAAAAGTGATGCAGCAAAGGTACCCACAGCCAAGTATACAAATTTCAGAGACACCTGAACAGAATTATCCGTTGCAAATGTTAAATTCCAACTGTTAACTTTTGAGGATACTATTTCCCAAATATGGAGTAGTAATAGTAAAATGGGTCAATGAGAAAATACCTCGGAAACTTCATCAACAACTTCGGCCGTGGTACTGGATCCCCCAAATGCATTGATCATGCTCCCAAATATCAAAGTCATCAAGGGCATGGAGATTCCATTCCCCACGGCGCCCACAGTGCCCACCAACATCAACAAGTGATCCAAAGAATCGGCAAATGAGAAAAGCTTGTATAATGGTACTGTTTTGACGGGTTCATCTTTAGACTTCCTGGATGATTCTTGATTGTTGCTAGTAACTTCGTTCAAACTGGTATTCCCTTCCATTTCAACAGAAAAAGACTCCTTTTGCTTACAAGCCTCTTTACCAATGATTGTAAGCCTAAAACAGCTGCAGAAAATGCATTAATTCAAGTTAGCAACACACAACACACAGTGCCTTTCTTCATGCTAGTTATCTTTTTTCTTGTTTCCTGGTTTATTTTGTGTGCATTGAGTTTGTGAAGAAGATGACTGTTCAGTATCAAATTTTTAAGTTCACACTCATTGTAAACTTCAGACATATTTCAGCATATAACCATTTTTGGTTTTCCATCAGTTTACTGAACTATAGAGAAGAAAAAATGAACCTTTTTGGAGAAGAAGCTGAAGCAATTTGTGAGCCGGAAAGAAAACTAGCCGTAGAAAGCAACAAAAGAAGAATAAGCGAAAGAAACAATTAAAAAATAAAATGGTGTTTCAGAAGTTGAACTCCGTTAGCTCCTTATATAGTTCACGAGTTCAAACTTTAATAAAAGCGTTGGTCAAACTAATAAGAGTCTCAGATCTTGAAGTTTCTTTGCCACCAAGATAACTCGGTAATTCAAGTCAAATTTTTCTTCTATTAAAAGTCCCGAATTAATTTTTTTCTGATTTTTTATATTATAATGTTTGATTAAATGTTAATGACTCTGCGTGATGTTTTGCAACTTTGATTCCTTAATTAAAAATGGTAGCCACCCTTAATCATCTGGGTTGCTATTTTAAATAAAACTGATATAAAAATTCACTTTGTGATTTTTTGAAAAAAACTAAATAAATGATAGAGAAAACATCAGAAAAAAATATATTGAAAAAGCTACCATCAATATTTTACTGTACCTATTTCAAATAAACTAATATATGTAAATACTAAAACTAATGTTCTAAGGGCATTTATATCAAAATGTTTAATTTTTAAAAAATAATAAAAAATATCATATATCAAATATTTAATATTTATTAAGCATATAGAGAGAGCACTGATTGGTTTCTTGACAGAGGACACAAAGATTAGTCAATCCCTACTTCACATTAATATCAAAATAATATAAAAAATAAATAAATAAATAAAAATTGAAAGCACTTTTCGTGATGCCCAAACAATGCATTTATTCCCCACATGTTTCCTTCTCTTTCCTACTTTTTAAATGAAGACAACAGACAAACCATCAAAAACACTCTAATTATTATAATAAACTATAAAAATAAGTAATTCCAGACGTTGACAGAAATGTCAAAGACAATGTATCTGTGTCTTTAATTCTACAGTAAATGATTAAAATCATATTTATAATTGAAGAAGGAAAATGGAAAAGCTTCCAACCTTGACCACTTTCTATTCATAAGCTGAGTTTTCAATGTTGCTCACTTTCCTGGCAAATACATGAAACAATTAGATAAGTGATTCCTCAATAAATTATACAGTTAAAAATTAAAAAAATATACATATGTTATGTCACCATATATATGAGTTGGTTGATGATGGAATTTCTTAATTCATGAAATTAATTTTCTGTTATGAATTTTATTGATTTAGTCAAATTTATGATAACGCCATGTAATGTTTAAGAAGATCAACTACAACACATTAGAAAAATGAAGTGAGGATAATCAATGTAGGATCTCTAATATTAGAAAAAAGAATAAAATATTTATATTACTTTAATTACTATTTTAATAAGGGAATGAAACGAGATTGTTTAAATTTGGTAAAAGAATGGAAAGATACGTCATAAATGAATGAAAAGTTTATTTGAATTTGACTAATTTTAAAAGGTAAAATGAGAATGTAATTAAATTATTTTAACAATTGTAATAATAGTTTCTTTATACCTTAATTTGTATAAATAAAATAATCGTTGATTATTAATATTTGAATAAAATTGAAATATAAGCATACATTTTTGTGAAGTATGTGCACGATAGATTATATCTTATATATAATTCATTATGTCTCACTTAATACACGTAAATTATGGGTCATATTACTCACATAATTAATTATGAGAAAGACTTAGATTATATAATATTTTCCTATAGAAATGCTAATACACAATATAAGATTATTAATATTAGTGAAACTTGAAACATATTATATACATTTTTTCTTATGTAAAAATTACATATGACATTTAGCATAATATTTAACCTTTTCTTCCTTATATATAAGTAAGTGCATGTATCTACTAACCATATGTCTATTTTCTTCATGGTCAATAATATTTCACCTGAAAAGTCAAACACTTCTAGTAACCTATTCTTCGGATAATGTTCATCCTTTTCTGTCATCGATTAATATTATTTTTCATTTTTTTATTCTTCTTCCGTGAATAATTATAATCGACCCGATCCAACCTAGATGCCAATTACATATTTACCCATAATTGAATGGAAAATTACCTACTGTAGAGATAATTCTCCAAAACGAAACCGTTATAAATATCATATATTAAATCATTAAATTTTGATATTTATAATAAATACAAATTTTCTAAGACACACGGGAAATATATAATTACATTAAAGTACGAGCAGTCTACAAATTTAATAACTAATGATTAGTTAGAGAATAATCTGCCCTTAAAATAAATAATAAAACAATATCTTCGTAATAGCGCCAACCACTTACCTTTCAGTGATAGTATTGCATTATTTTTTATACTCATGCACTAACTGGAGTTCAAAAAGTTGGTAATATAGTTACACCTCGTTTCTTGATGTACTTATCTTTTTCGTTTATTTTTATATGTATTTATATCTGTGTTTTTAGTGTGTCAGAAATATATAACCTATAAATAAACAAAATAAAATAAGATTAATTGAATACAACACATTAGAAAAGTGAAGTGAGGTTAATCAATACAGGATCTCTAATATTAGAAAAAGAATTTAAAAAATTATATTACCTTAATTAATTTAAAAAAAGGAATGAAATGAGATTGTTTGGGAGAGGCTATGAAGGTCACTCATCCCTAAATTGCTTCAGGCCAAACACGCTTAACTTTGGAGTTTTTATGAGTCAGGCTACCAAAAAGTAAATGCATTTTGATGATATGAGTAGCCAAATCAATCCCTTTAAACTATCCTTGAAGTCGCTCCCTTGCACATGCCTCTTGCACCGGCGATCACTCCCTGCCCTCGTCAGTGTCCGGATGTCACAGTTTAAATTTAGTAAAAAAGAGAAAAATAAATGAATGAAAAGTTTATATTGAATTTGACTAATTTTAAAAAGTAAATTAATTAAATTATTTTAACAATTGCAAAAAGAGTTCCACCACTTTAATTTGTATTAATAGAATAATAATTGCCTACTTCCTAAATTGAAACATAAGCATACATTTTTGTCAATATAAATATATGTGCATAAAAGATTATATCTTATACGTAATTCATTATGTGCCACTTAATAAACGTAAATTATGGGTAAAATTACTGACACAATTAATTATGAGAAAGACTTCATTAATTAATTATGTGAGATTATATAATCTTTCCGGTAGAAATGTTAATACACATTATAAGAGTATTAATATTAGTGAAACTTCAACCATATACTTTTTTTTTTCTTATCTCAAAGTTACATGTGACATTCAGTAAGGGCATGTATTCAGCACGGAGCATCATGGGTCAGGGGTTGTCCTAACTCCAAATCTTTTCAATTTTATGTATTACTTATGAGAATTAAATCAAGTGAATTTTTTTTTTCTTTTATAAAACATGTTATGAAATGTTAATAAATAATAAAATATAAAATTAAATATAATAAATAATAAAATTATTCAAGATATTTTGTTTTCAGATTTGGTTGCTCGTTGTTTTCAATCATTCTCGCTCCAACTCGATGATGTTTAGTTTCGGATCATCACTATCTCTACACATCCAATCATCATCTCTGCTCGTAACTTTGTTCGAAGCATCTCCAGTCGTCGATCAGTACCGTTGCTTTTTGCTTGCCTTTGTTTCACTGTTTCTCATTCAACCTTTGGATTGATTTAAATAATATATTTTTTGTGATTTTGAAGATAATCGATGTTAAATATATTTAACTTATTACATCATTAAAATCAACATTGGTATAGAACTAATGTATTAACAAAAATAAAAACACATTTAAAAAAAAACTTATACCAACATTCATTAACATAATCAAATATATTGTTTTTCATAAACGAAGTAATGGTGCTTATTTTTGCATGTAAGAATCGACTACACCTGTTTTTGCAAATTATTCTTTTTGTCGTTTATTATAATAATACAAATAAATAAATTTAAATTATAAAAAGTCATATTTTCAACCAAATAGCGTTCTGTTTCACCTACTTTTTGCCGGGTATTTGTTTCTTGTTTTCTTGTATTACTCTGTTATCCGCACCGTTTTGAATTCTTTTCTTCATGACCTGAAGAGTCAAACACTCCTAATTACCTTCTCTTGTATATCTTCCTTCATCACTTTTTGTATATACTTACATGTGTGTGTTTTTAGTGTGTCAGAAATATAAATTCAAGAAAATATTATAAGATTAATTGAATAAAAATGGACATATCATCTTGAGATTTTTAAACCTAATTCATTTAATATATATATATATATATATATATATATATATATATAT